ATGGTCATCGATGGCTTGCAGGAGATCCGGTCTTCCCATGGTGATTTTAGGGAGGAAATCATGGGATTTCATGGACAAAAATGGGGATTTTTGCTGGGGATCTGTGATGGAGGATATTTAGTGGATGTGATGGGGAAATAATGGGATACGATCGATTATAACTATAATGGAGTGTAATGGAAGTATAAACAGTTTGATATGATTTATGGGTGAAGAAAAACTAGTTTTACAATGTTTTACATGAAATTACCATCCCCCCAACTCACATGACGACCCTGCCCTGAGTTGGTGGTTGGAGGACAACTTTCTGAACATAGGTGATATTCATTGTCTATGTTAGTTGGGGGACCATAGTTTATCATTGTTTTCCCCATGTTTTAATGGGTCCGGTGATGCAACTCACAACAATTGAGATAGAACTTGCAAGAACGTGGATCCATCAAACATAAATAAGGACGTGGCCAGCACTAAAACCTATAAGAAATTCATATATGTATATATATATAGATCAAACAGGTCAGAAGGAACATATGGAAGGAACACAAATGGTTATATGACCAGCAACCTGCACCTACACAAAACATCATAAAACACCAGATACGGATAGAACCAATGACAATTGTTGTGTTTTGTAGCAGCTATCAGAACGTAATTGTACATGTCGTCAAGTTGTCTAACGTTTGTTTGTCCGCTTTGAGGTGGCAAAACCACCCTCACATCCAAGATTTTCCCGAATGGTCTGTACCAACGTGACCAAATGTTTGCTTTTTACTTGGTGTTTGTTGATGCATTCTCAGTCTGTGCCGGCTAGATCGTTTTTGTTGGTATCAATCGCTATTGTTGACAGCTATATCTTGAGGTATCTTAAGTACTGTATATAGCCAATATAAATACATAAACGTGTCACATGTCCATGTATTTCGTTATTTGTTTGTCACTGGTAATGTCTTATTTACCTTGACAAAAGTCCTGACTTCTGGATAAAATCCCCATTTCGTCGGTGAAACTCTCCACCATCATGTCCTTTTGCCACTGGTTGGTTGCCAAAGAAAGTGAGGAACTTCCCGTTCAACAAACTATATATATATATATATGTAGATGAATGGAAATGGTATACCATGATATACCACACCGACTCCAAACATTGTTTCTACGGAAGTCATCATTGGATCATCCCAGATTGGTTGCCGGGTATGTATAGATTGGTTACTGCATATGTTTTTAAGGTGGCTATACCCTCGTTGTTGGTTTACCCACCCACGATGAATCAATCCGGTGGGGTTGCTGAAATCACCATGATAACAACCACAATAACCATTATATCACCAGAATGCCCATATCATTAAAAAAACAAACATCATGTGGTAAAACCAATAAAATACCACCCCACAATTTTTGATGCTCCATACCTTTCTGGTGAGATTGGGGATGGTTCTGTTTATTAGGTTTGCCACATCCAGTTTTTCCCATAAAACAGAGCAACAACAGCCACCGCACTTCGCGAGGATTTCCAGCATGCGCGGTATGCTTGGCCTCATCCTGTGTGCATCATCGGTGGGACCAGGGGTCCAGGGGTCCAGGGGTCCAGGGGACCGGGGCTAGGTTGAACGGTGCCGGCAGAGCCAGGCTATAGTTACCCAAAAAGACAAGAACATCGAACTAAAACAATGATGAATTAATTTTTGGAAAATCATCTTTTGGCATTTTGGCGCTTATGACTTGATGGTTTGCGCACATTTCCCTCAAATCCATGGACCAATACAACCCCATCCCCACCCCCATGGGGTCGTGGGCCTTGCTAAACTGATAGGTGGTGGCTTCTATGGGGTGAAGATGGCGATGGAGCAACTTGGTTGTGACGACTGAAGATGGGGCTGGCGACAAAGACGGGAACCTGAACACGATCGTTGTTCGAATAAGATGTGTGTTTAAGTTGTAATATGCAACTGGTACCCATAGCATACGCCTATATTTCGGATCTATCCCAAATCACCATGTTGTCTTTCGCCATATCACACACCCTCACCTGCCAGGTATTTTTTCCACCATGCCTGATCACATGTATCTCAATATGGGTGTTTTTCGACTTGGGGTACCCTCTTCACCATTGGTCCCCCCAAAAATAGCTGGTAACTTGGGTGATCACTTCAGGTTCCCCAATTTTTGGATGTCTCCCCATCTTAGTTTCTTGGCCCCAGATCTCCTATTAGTTTACTGGAGGGTACTGATTGAGGATGATGGAAAATACAATGATTATTATTGTCAATGATTGAGGATTTTTGCCGTTTTAGGAACCCCCAAATGGTATATCCAATGATTATGGTCCATCTCCACAGAACATCTCAATTTTTTTGATGGTTAAATGGTTAAATATAATACCCTTGAATCCCCAAGGTACATGCTGGTTGTTGGCGGTAACATCATTCACCCTTTTCGGCCTCATACAGTAAATCTTCCCAATGAGCCAATGAGTTGGGTCATTTTAGGACCCACCCAAATGGTATGCCGGTATTTCCAATAACCATCCAAATGATATTTTTTGATGATCTTCATTCTTCATCCCCATCTTTGATGGTTGATCCCTTAACTAATCCACATGAATCAATACAAATTGTATTCCCATCTTTAACATTTTTTTGGATGGTTGACCAATGCCAATTTTTTGACATGTAATATCCCTTAATCAATCCCCATGATGATTGATAGAATCATAGAATCATATATATATATATATAGTCACCATTTTTTGATGGTTCATTCATCTTTTCCCTCATGCATCCCCATGTAATCACCAGTTTTTGCAGGAATCCATAATAGTTCATGGATCTTTCCCCCAGTGAATCCCCATGAATCCGCAAGGTACATGCTGCACAAGAACGAAAACATCATGCTCTTCGACCGTCACAAGGACGCCGGAGGCGATGCCTGGCTCTACTCGGCCACCAAGTATTCCAGGCGTGGGATGGGCGGTGAAATATGGCTTGGTAAACCATGGGAGTTGGATGGGTTTAGATGGGTTTGAATGGGTATATATGTATACATATATATATATATATATGTATATAGATATATGCATATATATATATATATATATTATATATATATATATCAATGGGTTTAAGACCTGCGGTTGATTCAAAGACAATTTCGATTTATATAAACCGTCTCTATTGAAAACCACAGTCTTACGAACGAAATATACTGGTATCCTGTAGGGTTCCGTGCAATGCTCAAGACAGAACCGCGGGTTGTCTAGGTTGTGGTTTGCAATATTTTTATTTTTCATAGTTGACAATTTCTTTCTTTCAACTTTTTTTTTGCCGTTGCCTGCTTAAAAAAGGCATGTGGTGTTCAACCATGGATCAGCCGGTTGATTCAGTCGATGTGTATCATGATGACTACCACGACTGTTAGATTATTGCCTCATTGTTACTATAGATGACGTATAGTAATTATCATCTTTTCATAACTATTCCTATTGTTATTATTGCTATCTTTACTACTTCGTACTGCTATCATTTTCACTATTGTTGATGCTGTATATCTATATCGTATAGTTCTGTAAAGTTACTATTGATACATTTATATAACAGCTGTCCTGTGAGTATTCATCTTTTCACAAGACCTTGAACGACATGGACATAGCGGGCGCGCGTCGACGTGTCTCGTTGTGCCAGGTGCCAGACAGACTTCGGCGCCTTCAACATCTGGTGGGGTCATCAGTTCCACGGTTGCAGTCATAGGGAATTTGATGGCCATCCCAGAGAAAAATAACAGCTGTATTTGTATACGTATACATATATACATATATAGAGGATACGCACACACAGATATATGTGTATATATATAGATATATACATAGATAGGATATCATATAGGATATAATATAGGATAAGATATAATGTATACATATATATATATATATGATATATGTATATATGTATGTATATATATATATTATACACAGAGATGTATGTATGATGTGATGTGCAATGTATCATAGTATGTTTTGGGTCTGTGCTGCAATATCTCATGTATATGTATATGCCTTGAAACATGAAAAGTTCTCCTAAGAGCCCATGAAGTACCCTGGTGACCGATGATGGGAAGGAACTTCTTCTCTCTCTGGTGTGGTCTCTGCTTTTTTTCTGTTTCTTGCATCATGAAACCCATTCGCTCAGACTACAAAAACACAGTTTCAGCATGAACACTTAAACTTTTCTCTATTTTTAAATCCATCCCATTGGCTCAGAGTTTCATTTTTTTGGGGATGGGTTGACCCACCAACCAGACTTACTTCAAAGGATGTGTGGTGGGCACTTCCAGCTCGGGACACACTCATGGTGTACTGGAACTGCACGCACATGTGTAAATATATGTATATGACATACTTATATACAGCATGCACATTATATATAGTATACACATGATAGTATACACATATATGTAGATATTCATAGATCTTCTAGAATCTTCGCATCTTCATTGACTTTATCAGAACTGATTCTTTTCTCCATCCTGGGTGTTGGATTCGCCTGCGCCCCCAGGTTCAACTTCAGCGGCGACGGCGGCTATGGGTCTAACCCCACCAATGGCGGTCGCGCCAAGTACACCAAATCCTTCGACGGCCCAGGAGAGGTGGAATGATCAACTTCCGTGGTCCTATTAGTTCTATGTAATTTGATATCTAGATATAGTGCGATGCAATGTAATGAAACGGAATGGAATGGAATGTAATTTACTGTACTGCTATGTAATAGTATGTGATGTAATGGTATGATATGTTGGAACTGCGATGGTATGCATAGTATGGAATGGTAGGTATGGTATGGCATGGTATGGCATGGTATGGCATGGTATGGCATGGTATGGCATGGTATGGCATGGTATGGCATGGGATGGGATGCGTAAAGCAATGTAATATATGTATCTGCAGAATATAGATACATACCTAGCTATATACATGAGGGTTCCACACTGGAATGCCTTGGTTTCAGTTATATATATATAATTATATATATAATACATATTCTCATTGAGGTTAGGTGAAGTACAGCAATCACCCGGATCAGGTTGTTGCAGTGGAAATCAATTTACCAATATCTACGGGGATACAACGAATCAAACTCCGGGTTTTTGGCCGAGGGTCCACCCCAACTTGGATTGGTGTAATTTAAGTTGGCCTATATCATCAACACAAAATTGATGGCTGAATTTTAGTGTAATGTGATAAGACCAATAATGAACCACCAATTTTGATCATCCCAGTTACACAACCCATTTCCTGTCCAATGGGGGATGGTGGGGCATCCCGTAGAGTCGTGACCAAACATACCAGCTCGACTTGCCAGGAGCTCCGGAGGGAGGCTCCGGCGCAGGCACTGGCGCCTTATCTTCAAATCCACTCCAGCAAGATGGAGACGGAGTAAGCAATCTGCTTGTAGAAAAATCATGGGTGGATATACAACCAACACTGGAACTATGGATTGGCAAACAATTCTGTCTACCGCGCAATTGATCGTTAAACCTTGGGTTTCTTTGAACAAAAGGACGTATCATATCATGCCAGACATCAGGTCACACAACCACCAGGTATACTCCACACATCTTCCAGTAGCCAGTTCTCACAGGTCAAAACAGGCCGTGAGTCCACAACGTTTCATGCCCAGTCTTGTCTTTGTATCCATGATTCTGGCTCGTGTCCACAAGTCCTGGCTCCATGACTCGCTTGCAGGCAGACCCAGAAATCCAGATTTTTCCAAGGAAATGATGGGATTTGTGATTCGATTATCACCAGGGATAAATTGTGTTCGAACTCCTTCTTGCAAACAGGATATCTTTATTGCTGCATAGCGAATTTGTTTAGGGAAATAAAGAACTTGAATCTAGTCCATCAGGAGCCATGGGACAAAGCGCATCTGGGAAAGCTTCTGCGATAGACCTGCCATCAGGCATCAGGGCAGACAGGGACTGCAAATTTGGGTCCAGTTGCTCAGTGAATGGCCGAGTGGTGGCAGTGCCTTTTCATGCTGAGAAGATTCTTGCGGTGGATCCTACTTCTCAGGAGGCTTTTGCCATAGACCTGCCATCAGGCATCAGGGCAGACTGGGACTACAAATTTTGGTCCAGTTGCTCAGTGAATGGCCGAGTGGTGGCAGTGCCTCTTCGTGCTGAGAAGATTCTTGTGGTGGATCCTACTTCTCGCGAGGCTTTTGCCATAGACCTGCCATCAGGCATCAGGGCAGACAGGAACTAGAAATTTGCATCTGGTTGCCTGGTGAATGGCCGAGTGGTGGCAGTGCCTTTTCATGCTGAGAAGATTCTTGTGGTGGATCCTACTTCTCGGGAGGCTTTTGCCATAGACCTGCCAGCAGGCATCAGGGCAGACAGGGGCCACAAATTTTGGTCCAGTTGCTCAGTGAATGGCCGAGTGGTGGCAGTGCCTTCTCATGCTGAGAAGATCCTTGTGGTGGATCCTACTTCTCGCGAGTCTTTTGCCATGGACCTGCCATCAGGCATCAGGGCAGACAGGAACTACAAATTTTGGTCCAGTTGCTCAGTGAATGGCCGAGTGGTGGCAGTGCCTTATGATGCTGAGAAGATTCTGGTGGTGGATCCTACTTCTCGCGAGGCTTTTGCCATAGACCTGCCATCAGGCATCAGGGCAGACAGGGGCCAGAAATTTGCATCTGGTTGCTCAGTGAATGGCCGAGTGGTGGCAGTGCCTTCTCATGCTGAGAAGATCCTTGTGGTGGATCCTACTTCTCGCGAGTCTTTTGCCATGGACCTGCCATCAGGCATCAGGGCAGACAGGAACTACAAATTTTGGTCCAGTTGCTCAGTGAATGGCCGAGTGGTGGCAGTGCCTTATGATGCTGAGAAGATTCTGGTGGTGGATCCTACTTCTCGCGAGGCTTTTGCCATAGACCTGCCATCAGGCATCAGGGCAGACAGGGGCCAGAAATTTGCATCTGGTTGCTCAGTGAATGGCCGAGTGGTGGCAGTGCCTTCTCATGCTGAGAAGATCCTTGTGGTGGATCCTACTTCTCGCGAGTCTTTTGCCATGGACCTGCCAGCAGGCATCAGGGCAGACAGGAACTACAAACTTTGGTCCAGTTGCTCAGTGAATGGCCGAGTGGTGGCAGTGCCTTGTGATGCTGAGAAGATACCGGGTTCACTGCCCCACCGCTCGGCCTGGATTTGCACACGAGTGATGTTCACCAGACACCGCAGTTTGCTGAGTTGGTGGCATGTATGCTGAGCTCATGGGTCTACACTGACGACCCAGAACCGTCCCAGATGGCGCATGCAGCCTTCGAAGTCCACGCTGTGATTCAGCCTGGCGATTTGGGAAGATCCGTGAAAATAGCCAGTGTCACTGCCGCATTGCCGCTTGGCAAGGTATTGTTTATCGTGTTCAAGGGCACTTCTTACATACTCGATGTCTTGAGTTGGAATTTGGAACATGATTATGAGATTACAGGTGAAGCAGATTTTTTTGCTCATGGTGGCACCGCTAGCACGATCAGGAACACCAAATTCTTGAAATCAGAAGCCTTTTTGAATCACCTGATGGCTGTGCGCGAGCAAGGTGTGACGCGGGTTGTTTTTGCTGGCCACTCTTTGGGAGGCATGTATGCCCAGATGTGTTTGTTCTTGACATGGGAAGAAGTTAGCAGAGGCAGCGGCACTTTGAGTGAAATCCTGTCTTCCATGGACTTGCAGAGTTTCGGTTTTGGTGCTCCCATGGTGTTTGGGGGTAACTCCCAGAAATTGAGGCAGTTCAAGGATTTTGCAAGAGATCGTGCTGTCAACTACATACTTGCCAACGATCCATGCGCGCGGGCATGGGGTGCACTAAACCTGCGGCACTTTGTCCAGCAAGCAACACTAGCTGTGAAGCCAGGACTGCAAGACACCTTTGGCAGACTGCAGGGCACGTTGGCATCCAAAGCTGTGGAAGCAACGGCAACAGCACTCTTGGAGAGGCCTGATTTCCGGACAGTACAAGACTTGGCCCGCAAGTACGAGCATGTGGTGCCTTTGCGGGTATTGAGCACAAGCAGACAGCATTTTCATTGGAAAGAGTTCATCCTGACGCCGGAGTGTTTTGAGGATCACTCCAGTGAATCTTACGTGAATAAGTTGTTTGATGCATTTGATTCCAGTCGACCTGAGTGCCACATTCATCATCAGACTTCTTGATTGTAAACATTGGCATCCTATAGGGTTCGGACGGTGAATCCAACAGATAGTTTCAGCCAGTAACATGGGTTGCACATGGTTGCACTTGGTTCGCCAGTGGAGTTCGCAAAAGCCGAACTGCCAAAAAAAGGGCTCGATGCTTGACATGCTCTTTCGCGACTTTGAGCAGGGATGTTTGATGACCCACACCCAAATGTATGGTGGCTCCAAGTTGCGCTGCCAATGCCCACCGAATTTCCGGAAACTTAGGAACCCAGCAATGTACCGGGCTACAAAACGCTGAAAACCACCTTCGGAATCCTTCAGAAAATAAATGGCTTGGATACCTGTGGAAACTGTTCTGGGGACTGCAACCAAGGTGTGGACTACCATCCTGTGAGGCAACAGAGCCTTGGTTTGCGAGTGATGGTGAAGAGGTACGCTGAAAGACAGCTAAAACCAGTGATCAAACCAAGAAAAATGATGAAACATGCCCATGTCAATGTGGCCAAACAATGGGGAAGACACCCAATAAAGATCAAAAGAATGTGTGGTTTCTTGAAATTGAATCCTAAATGCAAACTCTGCATACTCGCCTTTGCTTAAGCAGGGACTGGCTGTGTTCATGGGCCCAGGATCTTGGATTCTATGCGCTATGCCCTGGAAGAGTACAACTTCAGAAAGTACTGCACCTTGTTACGCATTGCTTGGAGCAGCACCACATAATTTCGGCATATGGCCATAGTATGCCAGAATTATAGAGTTTATCTCCGAACGTGCAGGTTTTACAACCATATTATTTTTTCCCCACAAATACACGAACAGCAGCGACAAGTGATCCCCTCTGATGTTCGGCACATATGATTTTCAGCATGCAACCAGCCTGGATCTGGCAGGTTCCAAGACTTCCACCCTCCCGGTTTCCATGTCAAACAACTGGGTGGCTTAACCACCAACCAGTTTCTGTACCACTAAAATCCACTAAAAATCATCTCGGATAGTAAGTACGTTTTTTTTTTCTTTAATAATTAGGTTGTAAAGCGACTCTACTGATGAACAGTGATGAACCTCAATTTTTGCAGTGCTCAAATCGAAGAGGGGGAGATGCATCCCGTTTTTACTGCTTAAAATATGTTAAACTGTGGTAACTACAGTTTTTGATTGAATGAATACTGTCTTTAATGGATGAATAGTGATTAGTGATTCTTGTTGGTTCCTGTTTTTTACTGGTTGAACCTCAAATTGGTTCAGTACCAGCTCCCGTCTCTGCCGCCATGCGGCGTCTAGGCACCTTCGCCACGGAGGTGGCCTCCCTGAAGATCGTGGGCGATCCTGAGGCGGACGATCGATACTATGAGCTGGGTCTTCGCAAGCTGGATTCGGACCGCAGATCTTGGGACAGGGAAAAAGGGTGTTGCAGTCTTGGAATCACCAAAGATCTTGGGACGATTCAGTGATTGGATCTGATTGGTTCTTTCTGCATACTGAATTTTCTTGTTGATTGCAGTTTATAGTGATGTTTACAGAAACACTGTCGGACAGACCACTGGCATTGAAAGGTTTGAGACATGCCTATCATGCATTGCATATCCCTCCTGTTTTTGTGTTTGACTGGTATCTCCATGTTTGTGGTCTTATTACTCCATGATCATTGGTCAGCTACTTCAATTCCCATTTTTTGCTTGGTTCATTTAGTGACTGCTGTACTGATTTTCCAATTTTAGCTGCTCAAACTTTCAATTGGGTTTTTGGTTTACTGAATCTCCAGCTGGGTTTGTCTGAAAATGGGGTACTGTACCCTTAATTCCAAGACGGATTGTCACTTTTTTTTCATGTTTGTTTTTCCCATTCGTTATTTTTTCCCCCAATATTTTTATTTGTTTAATTTACTTTAAATTGCTATTATGGGGCATTCCCGGTTGGTTACTGTACATCATGATATCCCCATCAAATCCGTGTTGTTGATGGTTAATGCCTGTGACATTGCCAATTGGTTTCACTCAAAACTAACATCAAGTTAGTTATATATATAATTATATATATACACCATTACTTCCCATTAAAGCCCATAACATCCCATCAAATCCCTCATCATATCCCCATGACATCTCCGTCATGGGATTTAATGGTATTAAATGCGATGTATGATGAGGGATTCCCCATTCCTAATATTTCCTCATCATATCCCTATGCAATCATATTAGAGCTCATTAAATTCCGAATTTGTTCTTCTTCTCATATATATATATATGTATATCCCATTCTTCCCTTATACATATATGGTTATGATTAGAAGAATATATCCCATTCTTCACTTAGCTTCGCAGCGCCACGTTTGCTGCTGAACTCACAACAGGACCATGCCGTGGAGCTGCCGAAGGGCGGATACAACGTGCCTTGCGGAAGCGCAGCCCTGTTGTTTGTGGCTTATAGTGGTCAAGAATGATTAGTAATAGTAATGCTGAATATATATATATATATATACACATATTATACATATTATACATATATATATATATCTATATGTACAAAAAATATGTCGTAAATTATCTGGGTATAATCTAAATATCTATGAGATGACACTGTACATGACCTACTGTGCATCCGGCTCACTGACTTCGCGAGGCATACAGCACCGAGAATGGCGGCGTCGCCTCCACTGTGAAGACCTCGGTGGTCTATCACTTCCCAGGCGCCAAGCCACCGATGGATTGAGACACCTGTGACACCTCGACATGGATTGATGGTGGAAAATAACACTATAAAATCTATGACAACAATGACAACTTGTAGAAATTTGGATGGCAATCTATGACAGCCGTAGAAATTTGGATGGTGGAAACCATGATTTTCCCCATACTACCCGTAGATTTTCTCGTTGGGATGCCTGTGGGATGGGCTGCCATGGCAGGTGCATATGAGATTAACCGCATCATCGACTATCCAGGTAGGACACCGGACGGGTTTACTGGAGGTGTACCCGAAAAATTGTCGGGACCCCAACAAACATGGCCAATGTCATGGGTAAAAACCATGGAAATTCATAGGGGGAAGATGGGAAAATATGGGAACCAGATGTTCTCAACCAACTTTTGGGGGTAACCTAAATGACAAAGTTTTTCACTGCCTGGTTCGGCACTTCTCTGTGAAATGACCAGTGACCTTTGCCAATTTGCTGCAGGTGAAGATGAATTCATTGCGGCAGGCGGACAGGTCGGTTACGGAATGGGCAACGGACAAGGTGACTTGGTTTCAGTGGCTTGAGGCGTACACCGTCCACACGTGAGATATGAAGCATGCCTGCCGCAAGTATGTCATACAACATAGTTTCACACAGGCTCAGACACTGCTTATTGCTTTCTTTTTGTTGAACAGTTGGGCAGTTTCAAAGTATTGAGCGATTTGTCAAGTCATGTACGACTAATCTATTTCATTCAAAGTCATTCAAGCAAACAGCTGCTTAAGCATTGGTCTATGACTATGAGACAGCCCATCAAAGCTAGTCAACGACAACTTACACACAATAGTTAATTAGCTATTCTGGAGTGTTCCATTACTACAGTCTGTTAAGAGCCCAATTAACCATCTTAACTTCATTGACTGTGATAAGCAAGCAACTAAAAAATTCAAATAGTCGCAAAATAGAGCACTCGATTATTCTCCATGAACTATTTAGCTACATATCCATTATCAAACAGCTAAAGTATTTTAATTCCATTTACATAATTTTACCACACATTTATCCATATTTATCCATAATTATTTCTTTTGGCACACATTTATCGTAAATTCTATTTTCATGCCCCCAAAATGTGGTACAACAGGTGATCCATCCCTCACATCCAAGGTGGCGCCTTCTGCTGGGACGACGGCCGCATGAAGGATGGACGTTGCGCCATTTTGGGCAACGGTGCCTTTGCGGTGGAGAACGTGTCTTGGAGACACTGGCTGGTTGTTGATCGTTTTGAATATATTAAATATACAATATAATATATATATATATGTATATGTGTATATATATATATATTGGTATATATAGAGAACCATCAAAAACTTCTGGGGCCTTTTCGGAGCGTGGAATCGCCCGCCTGAGGTCCGAAGTTGCGTGGAGAATGCTGCAGCCAAAGTTTACATCATCACCCGAAGGACTGGTCCTCATATGTCCTGAGCACGTTGAACTTGAAATGTTGACAGCGGCATTTCACATCCTAGAACATTTTTTGCTGGGAGAAGCTTTTTTCACCTATAGGAAACCAGGCTTTGACCATCAAATCCATCAAAATACAGGGGGGTTGCGCACGAATTGCCTCCTAAAAGCATGTCTGGGAATCTTTTGTCCATACTGAGCGAGCAGCTGGTGCGCAAACCCTGGAAGTTCGCAGGAAGAGCCTTTTGTGTCCACGCCTTCCTTGCTGGTTCTGCCATCAAGGTGCAGCCGGGAAATCCCTGGGATTTCCCCTCAACATCTATTTTGAGATGTTTTTTTCCACTAAGAATGGGACTTTCCCATTTCCATAGCGTGATTACCAGAGGGTGCACTGTCTGAAACAACTGCTGACCGCTGGTTGATGGTTTTCATGCAGGTTTCACGGGCAAGAACGTAACATGGAGCCAGCAATTTCGCATCCGTGGTTGTTTCAGGTATGGCAGAACCAGTGGAAAGAACATCAAGTGATCGATACGAATGAATGAGATTTGAGATGTAGCCATCGCAACTACGTGAATTGTGGATGAAGAATGACGGAAAGGTAGCCACCAACGATTTGGATGTAGCCAGAACGATCGCGTGACACGGGGAAATAGGGAAAAGACTGATATCTTGAAACAGGCAAAGGGCAATGGGTTTGCAATCCAATTGCATTATCAATCACGAAGCCGCAGATTCAACAAATCGCAATAGAAGCAGGCACACATGCAGCAACAATCTAGAATAATCTAAAACCCGTGAATTGCTGGGTTAGATCTATATAATTAGATCTATTTCCTACTGCGACTTTGATTGCTGGGTCGTGGACCGTGTTTGGTGACCTCAAGTTGCACAGATCTACAGGCTGTTTCCACTTGGGGGCAGGCCCTGAACCGACTCCAGCCTGGATGTTGCTGAATCAGTTCAAGCCCATGTATGCCTTGGGAGGCAGGGCCAAAGCCACAAAGCTACGATGGGAAAAGGTGTATGGTTCATATCAATTGCTACAAGCTGGGGACCCCACAGTTATAAGTTGGTGTATAACCACCATTATAGTTGTAAAATGTTATATATATACACATACACACAAACACATCCACACATCCACACATCCACACATCCAGCCATCCATTCATCCATTCAAACAAACAAACATGCATGCATGCATGCATGCACACACACACACACGCATGCATGCATACATACATATCATATTATATCATATCATATCACATCATATCATATCACATCATATCATATCATATCCTAACGTATCATATCATACCATATCATATCATATCATATCATATCTTATCATATCATATCATACACACACACACAGTATATATACACACATATATATATACCATAAACATCCGTAAACCACAGCTAACCTCTATAGTTATGAAACAAGTTAGCTATCGAGGGGAACCCACCTTGTAGGGGAAATCAATGATTGGGCACAGTAGCTTACCCAGTACAGGAGGTGTGTATATTTGGGGCAGAACGCACTTGCAGAAGGGTTGCGAGACAGTTTACTACCCCTGTGACTAGGACGAATTGATCTGCAATGGGAACGGGCCAGAACAGCAGTGATAATTTGTCATGACAAGTTCGCGAGAAATGCTGTGGATCTCATGATTTTCAGTGAGCCTCAATTGAGTTTGATCAGCTGGTCTATCAACCTGTGGATGTTTTCATACCCTTCAGGGGAACGGTCTCAGTGGCCACCAGACAACTCAACTTTCTCATCGAGTTAGGGATTTACCATATGGGAAGGTTTCAAGATTGGGTATGCACCAAAAAAGGATGGCTTCCTGAGGGAAAATTTCTCCGGGTGCAGGGTCTTTCATTTTGACGCGGACTGGAATTGAAGGATGACTCCTATCACATCCCAACGTATCCCATCGATATCTTCGTCGTATCCATTAACATCCCCAATTTCTGTCGGTCGGATCCTCACCTTGCTTGACAACAACTCCGATAAATCTCCATTTCTTTTGGTTAAACCATTGTTAAACCATCCCCCTTGGAATTTCCTCTACAGAATTGAGAACGTTGGGGCCAGGAAAATGGTGCATTTTAACCCCCTGACTGAATAAGGGGTACCTACCCAACGTCAACGCTTACAATTTTATAGAGGACCTTGGGGCCTCAATTCTATAGAGAATTCATGCTGAATACAGCACTGAGGACTAGTCTTAGGGACTACGATTCTATAGTGGGATATGTTTTTTTGGATGTATGTTATGTTCTTCAATTTTATAGAGAAGTATTGGCAGAACCAATTTCCCACAACAATTCTTTGATCATCCTTGATCATCCTTGATCATCCTTGATCATCCTTGATCATCCTTGATCATCTTGTATATTGTGGAATCATTTGGAATCTTGACATATTTTTGGAAACTTTTGGATACTTTTGGATACTTTTGGGATATATTGGAGATTTGTTGGAGATCCATCATCAGGGTTTCATCAGTTATCATCAGTTATATTCAGCAAATATGTACAATTTTGACATTTCAATATCTTACAAAAGCAGTTTTTTCTGGTTAACAAACTATAAAAATTACATTTTTCATTTTGTATCATTTTCCCGTTGTGTCTCCCCGTTGTGTCTCCCCGTTGTGTCTCCCCGTTGTGTCTCCCCTTTCTTTCTCCCCGTTGTGTCTCCCCAGTGTGTCTCACCGTTTTTGGGTCGAAGTCCTCGAGCCAGCCTTCCCGCCTTTCCGCTAAAAAAGAGCAAACGGATGGAAACAGATGGAAACAAAATGAAACAGAACGAAACAGAGCGATTTTCAAGATCTTTCAGGCATTTTTCACCAGTCTATAAAATTGAAGGGGTTGACAGTGAACACTTGGAGCCTTTGGGCTCTATAAAATTGAAGTGCATAAGGCAAGATAGGCAAGAGTAACTGGAGCATTCAGGTCAGCTGTCAATGAAGGAGACTTGGGGAGCCTGATTTTATAGAAGGCCAACTAACCCCCCCAACCATCTACGAGAGTGACTTGGCGGCACCAATTCTATAGAGATTGTCAACTTGAAAATACCTTGGGGTCTCTGATTCTATAGATGCATTTTCAGAAAGGGGGGTCATGTCCTCCTGATTTATCACTATAAAATTGTCAACACCAACCCTTTCTCTTAATACAAAGGGGGATGTTAAACCTACTAACTACTGTAGTAAGAGCACATAACATTTAGTCATGTTATAGCTTATTATCCCACCCATACTCATGAGGTGGCGCTCTGCACCAGGCTTGGAAGACCCCTACAAGTTCTATGCCGTTCAGATGGGCAACGACCCACACGATGTGGGCATCAAGCCCCTTGGGACTCGAAAGATGGTGAGTGATGGGACCGGGAGATGGGTTGGGAGTGTTGGAGATGTTAAAATTTGATCCAAATTGGGGATCACACGCATATCTTCACTGACAATTGTTTTTGGATCATGAAAGCTTAGACATAGGCACTTTCCAAACAAAGATGAGAGTGGCTTGGGTTGGGTATACCAACAGAACTTGAACACACCAAGGAGACTGGTTGGTGGGTTGGGTTCACTTATCATTTCTCCCTATCTGAAACGTCCAAAAAACAAGCAATGGACTCCTGTGGGGAAAGTTGATCTAGCTGCGGCTGTGATGACCAGGCCTTGCTGGCCCATCACAGGAGAGTCATTGAATGACCGTCATTTTTTGGATGGTTGAAACTTCCATTGGATTTTCAACGACCATCTTGGATTATTTTGGATCATTTCTTTCCCTGCAATCAAGATGGGTTGAGTCGTGTGCTTAACAACGCCCGCCATGGGATTAGGCAAAGCAGCCGTTTCGGCATCGGAGATGTGACCTTCTTGTGCTTGGCCTATGGCTTACTGGAGTCTTGGGACATGATTTGCTGGGGGCATCGCCATCTTGAAGAGGAAAATCACCTAATCATAAATGTGTTTGTCTGAAAGTATGGTAAATTTATTGATTAGTGATCATTATCCCCATCAAAACGGCTATTCGGGGGAATACCTCATTTTCAGACCCACCGAGGTGGATTGAAATAGGGACTTCTCCTACTCGCCGGATTCTGTAGTGAAGGGTAATCGATGGTAGTGGCTGGAAGACGCGTGGTGGACCCAAAAAATCTAGAAGTAGAGGTACTGAAAAACTATATCATAGATGTAAGATGTATAAATCGATATGAATATACGGGCATCTACAAATGACAATCCCTAGTCTAGTGCATGTTATATGTTCATATATGTTCACGGCATCTATACAAGCTAACATACACCTGCATGTTCCATTACATGTGAAGCATGCATATTCAATTAATTACATATGCATGCCTGCATGATTACACTACATTGCAGTAAATCTCGTTGCGTTGCATTACATTACATTGCATTAGATTAAATACATACGTACATATACACACAGACATCTACGTATACAATGTCCACTGTGTATAATATGTATATAATATGTATATAATATGTATATAATATGTATATAATATGTATATAATATGTATATAATATGTATATAATATGTATATAATATGTATATATAAACACATAATATGTATATAATAGACAACATACTTAACATTTCCACCAAAGGCGTGGCCCCAAGGAGTACCGAGTTGATACACTGGCGCGATGCAGTGCGAAGACCTTGCATCTCACGAGTATCTTGCTGCAGATGCCGGGGGACCGGTCCCCTGCGATGATCCCATTGTTTTGTACCCAGTTTTAGTGGGGAGAATTGCAGTTTTCAACCAGACAATAGCAGTTTTTAATGGGGAAAACTGCGGCAATATCAGTTTTTTTTGGGTATGCACCAAATATTGATGGTCATATGAATGGTTGTGATAATTAATGTCATGGGATACATCCAACAACGGACGAGATGATATATAATGTGATATGGGATTTTCCTAGGGCTTAGCTATCATCCAACATTGTATCGTTTTTTGTTTTTTTAATGGGGAAACCGCTGGTTTGGGGTACCCTAATTTTATGACCCCCCAATTGTGCCTCTAACCTGATGGTGGATTATCACATATCATCACTATTGTAGGTGAAATGAGTCATTTGACTCTCATGGCAAACCTGACCTAGCTTATCCTGACGTGCCCAGTTTTTCATAGCCTTGAAGGACAGATTAATTTGAAGTTGCAGACCTCAAATTTGGATCGTCTAGGCACCATGTGGTTGACGACCTGGGTCTCAAATTTTGGATGTGTCCTTTCCAATCCTTTCCAATCTGTTTGGGTTTTTTGCAGAACCCCATCCTTAGAGGAAAGATTTCTTCCCATCCCCAACTGCAGGTGGTGAAAAGCTGGAGGACATGGGCCACATCTGCAGCTTGGCCCCAACGGGGGTGCGAAACCAAAGATATCCGGATTTTGTTGGTGAACACACCCACATTTAACCATGTAGACATATATATGATCATATCTGCGGAAACTGATTTCAAATGATTTCCATGGCCGGGTTAGCCTGTTACCCTTCGGTAATCAAACATGGCTTGCTGGAAAATCCTCCATTTATAGATGATTTTCCTCTCAGATCCTCCATTTTGCCTCGGGCATTTCGAGGCAAAGCGCTCGGCCTCATCGGCGACCCGCGCGTGGATAAGTTACATGCCATGACCCACAAAGTGGGCTCCATGATCAACGGGGACTTCAGGTGCGAGTGAAGGATCAACGGGGACACCCTGGGGACCGGTGAATGTGGGGATAGAACATCCAATGCCAAACTGGTGATTTTCACCTGAAAATTCGGGTGTTTTTTTTTCTCTCAAATCACATCACAAATTGGGGATGAAAATGAACGGGTTTTTCACAGCTTCGGTTCCAGGCGTGTGCTGGCGGCCGATGCCACCGGCATGGACGCGCGGCGCTTCACCACCTTCTCCGCTGGCCCGGGCGCCTGCGGCATGGTGAAGCAGTGGCACCTGGGATGAAAGCTGGGAGTTGGTGATTTTTTCCAGGGAAATGTGGACATTTTGGTGATTTTAGCAGTAACTTAGGGACTTGATGGGATTTGCGTGATTTTCACCAGCAAGATTTGATGAGGTTTTTTCAGTGATTTTACCAGTAAAATTTGGGGACTAGACCAGATTAGATCTGATCGTTAGTTAGATGCTATCTGGTACTGTGACATCGGCCACGAATCATCCAAGGTACTTCCTGCACAACCACCCTTGGCTGTTCAAGGAAGCTTGCGACTTTTCTGCAACATTTCTTTGGTGATTTCAGATTGTTTGGATGGGATTGGATGGGTATAACTGACCTGTATTCGTCAATGAAATTGGTATGTCATACAAGTGGATTTCGGTAAGGAAAGAAGCTGAGTGGGTTTCAGATGGTGTCAGCGTGCTGCGTATACATTCTGACTTTCCCAGCCAGTCCCTTCCACCTGCAACTGACCAGGCATTGGTTATCATTGGTTTGATGATCCACAACGATCAGTTGGTTATGGCCGAAACTTCTAAAACATTATACAATAACAATAACAATCATAGTAATAACAATAACAATAACAATAATAATAGTAATTATAATAACAATAATAATAGCAATAATAATAATAAATATATGTCTATATATACACATATATAATGCAATATGTATATATATATATATACATATATATATATATATTAAAGGGCTTACGCCCCCTGCCGCCGACCCCAGATTCACTCCAGTAGTGGAGCTTGATGTCTTCCTCTGGCTCACTCCTCGCCCTGGTTGGGGGCCAACGGGCCAACTGCCATTTTGTCTCAATGATGCGCTTCTTTGGACGTTCGACCGGGAGCTCCCAGGACAGATGTGCTGTGGTAGACATGCGAGGACATGATATATATATATATATAAATAATTGATATCAGGGATTTCCGTGGCTGTTCATGGAATGTTGTTTTCATATTTTGGGGATGGTGTGTCTTGCCTCCCTTGCGTAAGACGTAGTCTTCGCAAGGAAAAGGCGCACCAAAAGTATGCATGAAAACAACATTCAATAAACAGACACGGAAACCCCTGATATCGTTCCCTCCTCTTTTCACTGTTCCTGGCTTTCTCCTTTCCCTTTGACTTTACCTCCGTTTCTGCACTGCCAACTGCCACCCTGCTCGTGTCCTCCTGGAGCTGGCTTTCGTTCTGCACAGCTTCGGTCCAAGCTGGAGTCCAAGGACCTGTCGCGCAGGGCTAAAACACCATGGCAGTGAAGGACGGATTGGGCCCGCGGCCCGTAGCCCAGACTGCCAAACGTCACTTTCTGAACCGACTAGAAACTAGCTCTCAAACCTGTCGCAGGGCTAAAACACCATGGCAGTGAAGGACGGATTGGGCCCGCGGCCCGTAGCCCAGACTGCCAAACGTCACTTTCTGAACCGACTAGAAACTAGCTCTCAAACCTTGACTTTACCTCCGTTTCTGCACTGCCAACTGCCACCCTGCTCGTGTCCTCCTGGACCTGGCTTTCGTTCTGCAGCCACCTTGCTCGTGTCCTCCTGGAGCTGGCTTTCGTTCTGCACAGCTTCGGTCCAAGCTGGAGTCCAAGGACCCTGTCGCAGGGCTAAAACACCATGGCAGTGAAGGACGGATTGGACCCGCGGCCCGTAGCCCAGACTGCCAAACGTCACTTTCTGAACCGACTAGAAACTAGCTCTCAAACCTTGACTTTACCTCCGTTTCTGCACTGCCAACTGCCACCCTGCTCGTGTCCTCCTGGAGCATGGCTTTCGTTCTGCAGCCACCCTGCTCGTGTCCTCCTGGAGCTGGCTTTCGTTCTGCACAGCTCCGGTCCAAGCTGGAGTGCAAGGACCCTCTGTCGCAGGGCTAAAACCTAGCTGTCTGACCCAAAACGGCGCCTGCGCCACAGCCAAACAGCAGGGCCCTGCGGGCCACGGCCGTGAGTGCCTAACGTTGCTTTCTGAACCTACAAGAAAACCTAGCTGTCTGACCCAAAACGGCGCCTGCGCCACAGCCAAACAGCAGGGCCCTGCGGGCCACGGCCGTGAGTGCCTAACGTTGCTTTCTGAACCTACAAGAAAACCTAGCTGTCTGACCCAAAACGGCGCCTGCGCCACAGCCAAACAGCAGGGCCCTGAGAGACGGACCGGGCCTGCGGGCCACGGCCGTGAGTGCCTAACTTGGCTTTCTGAACCTACAAGAAAACCTAGCTGTCTGACCCAAAACGGCGCCTGCGCCACAGCCAAACAGCAGGGCCCTGAGGGACGGACCGGGCCTGCGGG